CCTAACGTTTGCCAGACTAGTCTGAGAACACAATACATTTCTACTATTGTATCTATATAAAATCCATCACTTGAACTGAAGATATAAGCCATAATCATCACGCTTTAAAGGCGCATAGACGGTATCGCCTTATCAGGCGTCTCGCATTTTTGGTGGTGCTTTTGGCCGCCTATAAATTTTTATACGTCTAGTGAAATCTATTGAAAGCTATAATGCCTTTCTAGTATTTCTCATAGTTGCTTTTTACGACACCAACAAAATGGAATGGGGTGACATATTCTCTTACGATAACGCCACACGACGGCAAAAGTAATAAAAAGTAAAAGTAAAGTTACAGCCTATATACGTCCTACTGCTGGGCACACGCCTCCCCTCATTTCTGAGACGGTTTTAGGGCAAGGCAGTGTCTGCCGCGCTGCCCCAAAGCGTGTTGGCGAACTTCACATGTCTTCGAATTATTATTTTTTCTTTTTTAATCTTCAGACATACAGGTTTCCTCACGATGTTTTCCTTCACCGCCGAGCACGTGGTAAATCAGCACTTAAAATTGCAATTAATAATTTCATTGGTGCCCTCGGGAATCGAACCCGGGTTACTCGCGTTCTGTTATATATATAGCGAGCGTTAACGATCTGAGCTACCACGGCTCTCTGGCAAAAGTAATATGTATGTTTAATTATAGTCTACCAATTCTAAGAAATACATTTTGACAGCTGTCAGACTTATTGCACCAAGCATGCCAACCAAAAAATCGGAACGTACAATATTCGATTTTTAAAAAAATCGATATCGATTATTTAGAGTTGGTAATCATTTACAGTTTGGTTTGAATAATACCAGAATAAATTAAAAACGGACAATTTATAACACAAGATTTATCCGTTTCTTCGTATTTGTTGTAACTGCTTATTTCTAGAGGCACAGTTATAAAAATTTAAGATTGAAACTAGATTAAAAATAAATTTATTCAATCACTTTCAGTACACCTAGTAGGTATGTCGTTGTTTATATTAATTATTATTTGATTATCAATTATTGCAGTTAAAATTAATGTCTTTTACTTTTGCCCAGTCATCCTTTGTGACATGGGCACCTGCTTCAACGAATTTTTTTATAGCATTGGGTGACAAACGAGTACACGGTCCACCTGATGGTAAGTGGATGCTATGGCCCATCATCATCATTACAGCCCTTCACAAGTCCACTGCTGAACATAGACCCCCAAGTAATGCCACAAAGCACGGACCGTGCTGAGCCACCTGCATCCATCGACGTCCTGCATGTCTTACCAGGTCGTCACTCCATCGATTCAAGTAAAAAGGATGCCCAGTTCTTTACACTCACCATACGAAACACATCAGCATTGGGTTGCTATTTTACGTTGGTATTCTGTGAGAGCGTGGTCCTGCCCTGATTGAGCCGACCCATTCGTGCTTCAACTATAATATAGATGTAGCGTGGCTCTACTACGTACAAAAAGTTATTATAGAAGAAACAGTCCAAAAAGTTAAAGCCGAGTCACAAAATAAGAAGACAAACACAATTTTACAAAATTACGCACAATAAGCTCTCGAAACTTTTTTATTCAATATAGATTATGAATAACACTTATTGAAAGTCACTTTTTTCATTTACCACTGGTTCGCAAAAAAACCTCTGAACTGAGAAGAACCAGCAAGAAACCCAACGGGACTAATTCAAAAAAAAGAGCTTGCAATCATGCCTGTTACAATTAACAACACAAAACAAATTAGATATAGCTTGGTAGCGATCACCCTTTCCAGGGGTTATTGTCATCCATAAACTCCTTAATATTAAAATAACCCTTTCTATACAAATCTAGTTTATTAAAGTTTTTGAACTTTGTGTACTTACGTCAAATTTTGTATATTTTCTGGTATTTTGTTATAAAAGCGTATACATCGCCTCAGTAATGAATTACTGATTCTGTGGAGTCGAGTAACTGGTACCGAAATTGCGGGATATTAAAATTATGTAGTGGTTATTTTAGCACGGCCTTGTATATGAGTTTTTTCCTACAAAAATTTACTTTGACAAAGTGAAAAAAATAAACTTGTTTTATACATGATTTATGTAATTTAAGGAATTTTGAAAATAAAAATTAAATTAAACAAATAATACATTAAAAAAAATTATGATTCGATTATTAGAATACTTTTACCGATTATTTGAATATTTTTCCGATTATTCGCATAACAATGAATTTTAATCATCCAAACACTACGGTAATATACATAGCGACATGTCATTGAAACGATGTCAAGTAAAAAAAGTTAATACTGGTTATTTTTTAATATTTTGCTTTGTTTGAAAAATTCAAATTTAAATAAGTGATAAAAAACCATACACGTTGTAATGAAATATAGATAACTTTATAATTCTTCGGATTTGCGTAAAAGGTTATTTTATATTTTAAATCGTGTGAGTACGCTTGTGCAAAGTTATTGCGGATTGATTAATGTGAAACGTCAAAATGTATTTCTTAGATTTGGTTGACTATAATAATGGTGGCCTTGAAGCAGCGCCGCTGATGGACGTGAAGAGTACCAACATTTATTTACCAGCTTCGTCGACTGGATTCTCTTGAAGATGCTCACCTCTTTTATTAATAATTGACCGTGTAGTGGCGGTGTACGAATATCCGCTCTCCATATCGTCCCGGAAGGTCGTTAGTGGCGACTAAGAAAAACTGAATAGGAAATAGGAAGGAGCACCTTCCTGTCAACAATTAAATAATATGACAAACTGCAATTATCCCCCCTTTGAGGCAATATATGGGTGAGGTCTATGTCAAGCAGCGAACTTTCGTAGATTAAAATGGGTGGATGGAATTAATATCTTGAAAAGTCCTGGAATCATTGTAAAGTTTGCGGTTTAGTGAGAAAATTTAGTAGTATTTTTTCAAGTATATTGATTGCTTTGAAAGAAAAATTAAAAGAGAGACGCCTGGTACTACTGTACACTGGTACTACTGCTACCATGGAAGATATCCAAGTGCAACTGTGGACTGCTTACGGGCTGATTACGAACTAAAGAGAAGACCTTTTAAGACCGAAATTTGATAACTTAAAAGTGATGGTAAAAGCCTATAACCTTAAATACTTGATTTCTTAGTCGTATGTCACGCTAGCACGACGCGTCTTGCGTCTGTGATGAGCGGAAAAATAACAATACGAGGCGAACAGAAGGTGCCACGTTAGCGCGTCTGTCGTGTGCGTCAAGCGACCGCGACCAGCGGAGGACATAGTACGCGTTCGCGCGTTTTAATCAAATCTTGTTGATTTTTCCGCGATTCAAAATATAAATACGGACACGTTTATGAGTGAAATAATGTCTCAGTCTGCAATACGGTCTACTAGTAAGCATGAAATTTATAAGCATAATATTTTATTTCTCAAAAATTTTGTGGATATTGACGCGAATTCGACGTGAAACGATAAAATCATCGTACAGTCTACGAAATTCACCAAACTGATGCCTGTTTTAGTTTAAATCATGAACTCTATTCTAACTTGAATTATACTCCCTTATAGTATTTTTTTAACCCGCGCAAAAATAGCAGGAAGAAACCACATGCCATGTAGCCGCCTCAACGTGGCATTACTACACCGGTAAGGCGGCTAGGAGCAGCGTCTTCATGCCTCTCGTCTCCGCAGGTCGTCTCCGCTGCCTGCACTTTATGACTAATAATTTAATAATTGAATGACGTAATATTTAAGATACCATAAATACTGTATACATTATATATATATATATATATATATATATATATATATATATATATATATATATATATATATGTTCCATTATTCTATAGAAATAAATTTGTATATCCCGATGAATTGTAAATAATTATTTAATTTAAGACGCTGGTTGAGGTTGAGGTGGATAATCTATCTATCCTGCTGCTGTCATCAACAACATCGTCATTAAAGCCTATCAAAAATGGTCAAGGGCCTTCTCCTATATATTGATCTCAAAGGGGTGAGTTCGCTATCGTAGTTGTTTCAATTTAGTTGTTGTCACAAAAAAAATATAAATATATAAATATGCCGCTGCTCAGCTTCTGTTTCATTTTTTATCTGCCGCCTCTTTCGACACGCACAGGGTGACTGAGGTAATTGATTTTATTACAACAAATTACAATTCACTGTGTGTTTTTATTCCCTTATTACTCTCCCATAGAATACCTCACAAGGAAGATATGTACTACAGTTGCCACGCTTGGCGGGCAGATTTGCAATCGCAACTAATATTAAAATAAGTGTCAGTGAAGATGCGGACTGCGAAGTGGCATTCGCATTTAAATTTTAGTTGAATAGTTTGATGGCAATATTAGATCTGTTTATAGCATTGCTATATTTCTGTTTTTAATAAAAATCGACTAAAGATAGGATTAAATGCTCAGTTTCAAGTAATAAGGTGTTCGATTCCCACGCTCAGCCAAAACACGACGGTTATTTACTGCTTTCTAATGATGATGTTCTGTGAAAACATCGTTTATCACATTTCGTCCCGTGTAAGAGGCGACTGTGGAAAATGCCAGAAACATGTCTCCTATGGTGGGTTAATAATAATAATAATAAAAAAAAATAGGCGTAGGGAAGTGACGACCCCATCGCCCGCTGACGAAACAGTTAAGTGACAAAACTGCTACGTCGGTGCAGTCAGTCAGCGCCTTGCCAAGAGGTGTGAGCGCCGTGCCTCGGCAGTACTCAGGGTGCAAAGGCCCGTTTGTGCTTACGGCCGTACAATGATACAATGAAACGGTGCCGGGCCTGGGCGTCTCCCGTTAATTGGCGCCCAAAAATGGATGATGGATATGATTGGAAAACGTATAGGGCCGCTGCCTGGGGGGTCGCCGGGGCGCGTCTGGAGCTGGCGCTGGACGCGGCAGCATGCGGGCCGCCAGCCGAGCGCGAGGAGCTGCAAGAACACCTAACAGCCCCCCGCATCCATCATCCCCACCAGACGGCTTGATGTCGGCAGGGTCCTCTCGGACTCGGCAAGCGGCATCCGCCGCTGGTGGAGTGCGCCGCATGCGTTGGACAAGGGATATGAACGCAAACGCATTGCGGGCGTACTATAGGGCGAAAGGGGAAGAAACTGCGGGGATAGCGTATCGGGCTCGGATGCATTGCTTTTTTGCTGAGCTGGAGCCGTCTATTCCCGTCACGGAACAAAACCTGGCAGACCGAGTTCGGTACATCATGCGCTCGAAAATATTCGATGATGTCGAGCTCGAACGACTACGACGTGAGGCCATTCCCTCATCGAATGAATTGGCTACGGCTGGGGATGCGGCTCCTCAGGCGACAGACCAGCTGCCACGCGTAGAAGCCGCCATGGATCTTCCAGTTGTGGTTGATTCAGATGATGATGATATGGTCTCCCACGAACTAGAGCAAATGTGGAGTATATTGGAAGAGGCGATTTTGGAAACGCGCAGCATGCCTCTCGAAAATCGACCGCGACTTCCTCGCATACCTCTAAGCAAGCGAAATCGGGCTGTCGTGAGGGCTCTTAACCCAATGCTGGTAACCTATTTGGAAGCCAGCCGGGACCTTTGCGAGACGGACTCAGTTCTTTTTGGCGCCGCAGTGGCAGCTTGCCGTATTATTGGCGCCAGACTTCCCATGGCTGGACGCGCTTCTAAACAAAGTAGCGCCATCCTAGCCTGGAGAAAAAGAATTAAGGACCGTATCGCAAAGGCAAGGGCCCTTATCGGCAGACTGATAAGCTTCAGGTCGGGTAATAATAGACCGAGGGTTGTGCGCACCGTTAGAATGGCGTTTGCTGGGACAAATATCAGTTTGTCTCAGCCGGATATCACGCAGAAACTAACGGAGCGCATAGACGACCTGAAGCAAAAGATTGCTGCTTGGGGGAAGCGGATTCGCCGATTTACTGAGAGGTCAAGGCGGTTCAACCAGAATCGTCTCTTCCAGAGTGATCAGAAGAGGCTCTACAAATCATTGGAGCGACCAGAGTTATGTGGAGCGGGCCCAGGACCGGACCAGGCTAACACTGTCGCATTTTGGCGTGGCCTGTGGTCAGAGCCCGTAAACCACAGCGAGGGCCCTTGGACGGAAGTTGTGGCGAGTCAGTGTGCGAGGATTACGCCCATGGACCCCGTCATCATAACGCCGGATGACGTAGCTGAGGCGGTCCGTAGAGCCCCGAACTGGAAAAGTCCGGGACTCGACGGACTGCATCACTACTGGCTGAAGGGGTTCATGGTGTGTCACGCTGTGCTCGCCCGTCAGTTTCAAGAGGCTCTCAACCAGAAGTCGCTCCCTAGCCTCTTCACTACTGGGATCACTCATTTGGTTCCTAAAGACCAGGTTACCACAGACCCGAGCAAATACCGCCCCATTACGTGTCTACCCACCATATATAAGACACTGACATCCATTTTGAGCGCGAGAATCACTCGTCACCTGGAGCTAAATCAGATGATGTCACGCGCTCAAAATGGATGTCGGGGGCGGTGGTCGTGGAACTAAGGAACCACTCCTCATTGACGCGGTCATTGGCAGAGTGGTGAAACGCAACCGTCGGAACTTCTCCGCCGCCTGGATAGACTACAGAAAGGCATTCGACTCGGTGCCCCATACATGGCTAAAGAGAGTCCTCGAGCTGTACAAGATAGACTGTACAGTGAAAGACTTCCTCGAGCAGTGTATGGAGCAGTGGAGTACGATCCTTTGTCATCTGGGTGAGCGGATGATGGCTGCGGAGAACCACATAAGGATAAGAAGGGGTATCTTCCAGGGCGATTATCTGAGTCCAATCTGGTTCTGCCTCTCCCTGAACCCTCTCAGTACCTTACTGGAGGGATCCGGGAGGGGATTTCAGCTTCGAAAAGGAGGGACAAAAGTGACCCACCTTTTTCTATATGGATGACCTTAAGTTATTCGCCTCCAGTCGCTCCCATCTTATGGAATTGCTAAACATCACTTGTGAATTTAGCAATTCTATTAGAATGGAGCTGGGGACGGATAAGTGTGCGGTCCTCCATGTTGAGAGGGGAAGGGTTGCTAACTCTGAGGGCATAGATTTATCTATGCCCGTCAACTTAAGGACCCTTTCCGAGGCTGAAACATACCGATACCTGGGTATGTCACAGAACATCGGTATCGATGAGGCTGGTATGAAACAGTCAGTTTGCGACGTGTTTTATGCACGCTTGACCAAAGTGCTTAATAGCCTTTTGTCCGGTGTGAATAAGACACACGCATATAACGGTTGGGTCATACCTGTCCTTATGTATACCTTTGGCATACTCAGGTGGACTCAGAGTGAACTTAACGCCCTGGATAGAAAAGTCCGCACTACCATGACGTCCCATAGGATGCATCATCCGAGATCGTCGGTAATGAGGCTGTACTTGCCGCGAAAGCATGGTGGGCGTGGCTTTCTGAGCGCGCTCACTATGCATTATCGTGAAGTTTGCAGCCTCCGTGATTACTTCCTGGCGAGATCGGATGATCCATTCTATAATGACGTCATTTCTAGTGATAAAGGGCTTACCCCTCTATCCTTGGCCAACGAGCAATGGCAGGACCCAGCAGTGCTTAGCATTTCCGACCGGGAGACCGTATGGAAGGAGAAGGAGCTCCACGGGAGGTACTACAGGGCTCTACATGAGCCCTTCGTAGATACAGTCGCCTCCCTCAACTGGCTACGTTTCGGTGACCTCTTCGGGGAAACCGAGGGTTTTGTCTGTGCAATACAGGATCAGGTTATTAAGACCAACAACTATCGGAGATACATCCTAAAGGATGGCACCGTCGACGTCTGTCGAGCTTGTCGCCATCCCGGGGAGCCACTTAGGCATGTCATCTCCGGTTGTTCGGCGCTTTCTAACTCTGAGTACATGCACAGGCACAACCTAGTAGCCAGAATTCTACACCAGGAGCTCGCTCTGAAATACGGTCTCGTGGACCGGAAATTGCCGTATTACAAGTACTTGCCGGAAGCCGTGCTCGAAAATGACCGCGCCAGGCTCTACTGGGACCGGGCCATCATCACAGACAGGACTATTCTTGCAAATAAGCCTGATATTGTGCTGATGGACCGGGCACAGTCAAGGATATTTTTGGTCGACATTACCATTCCGTATGACGAGAACCTCGTGAAAGCCGAAACAGATAAGCGAACAAAATATCTGGACCTGGCTCACGAGGTGACCGACATGTGGGGTGGTTGGCCGACCGAAATTATTCCTGTAGTCGTCTCTGCGAATGGGCTAATCCCAGTCAGCCTCTCGGGTCATCTGAGGCGACTGGGACTCCGTGACGGACCGCTCCTGGCTCAAATGCAGAAGGCAGTGGTCCTCGATACCGCCCGCATCGTCCGTCGGTTTCTTTCCCTTTCCCCCTAACCCTCGGCCGTTTGGTCTCCCCTGCCGAGGGCTTCCATCTGGTTGGATCTTTATTTATTTGTGTATTTTTTTATTTATTTTATTTTATTGATATTTATGTATATTTGTCTTTTCATTTTAATTTATAATTATATATTTATAGAACCCAACCAGATGAGAAAACTATATTGATTAAAAAATGTATGTCGGTTAAGTTTACTCATACCGAGATAGATCTAGGACGAGGAGTCAGACTAAAAGAGATACGTGGTAGAGCCGTGCTGCAGTTATATTTGTAGTATAGTTGTAGCACGAATGGGTCGGCTCGACCGGGGAGGGACCACGCTCTCACATAATACCAGAGTCAAATAGTAGCTTAATGCTGCTGTGTTTCGTATGGTGAGTGTAGAGAACCGGAGACCCTTTTCACTGGAAACGAGGCATTCCACCTGTCCTCACGGATGACAACGCATCTGCATTTTGATTCGTAATCGAGGATATATGTAGATGCCTATGGGCCATAGCAACCACTTACCATCAGGTGGACTGTGTGCTCGTTTGTCATCCTATCCTATAAAAAAAAAAATAGTATAGTTGGGGCACGAATGGGTCGGCTCGACCGTGGACACAGAATACCAGCGTCAAATAGTAGCTTAATGCTGCTGTATTTCGTACGGTGAGTGTAGAGAACCAGAGACCCTTTTTACTGGAAACGAGGCATTCCATCTCAGTCCTCACGGGTGACAACGCATCTGCATTTTGATTTGTATTTGAGGATAGATGTAGATGTCCATGGGCCGCTGCAACAACTTACCATCAGGTGGACCGTGTGCTCGTTTGCCACCCTATCCTATAAAAAAAAATACAATCCAACCCAAGGTCGCACATGCCGAGGGCTGCATGGCTACGGAAGAGTGTTAATCGATAGTACGCCAACTCTGGATAATGGAGGACCTCCAATTTTATTTACCCTTGCCGCAGTGAACGCAGAGCTCTGCTGTGGTCAACTCTGTAAGTCCCTAGCTTATCATGGGAATAATATGATTACCAGATCTAAAACAAAAAAAACATACCCAGGATAGCTTGCCTCAGATAGATGACGAAACTTCACATTGCGCGTCGTCATCTTCATCATCTCTTTTTCTATCAATTCCATCATCATTACAATCATTACGAGTCACTCCGACGACATCATCATCAATCAGTACACAGTCAGCGGATGTTGTACAGGACACAATTTTTGTCTACGAAACTGTCACTGCAACAACTTGTAGGAAATGGAGTATTGAAATGAATAAATTCATCTTACGCACTTATCTTGTATATATATCTAATTGTTTGAATGTCATTAAGATTCTAAGAGGCCAGTATTCAAATTCTAAAAAAGGTTTTATTGTAACTCAATCCGAAATATTCTATTCCCGATCATTTCAGTGTGCCCTAACGTACCTTACTTCTCCTGTGACTATTCAATCACTATGTCAATACAAAGTACTCAAAACTTCGGGAATAAAAATTAAATTCATTCAATGTGTAGTATTAGTGATAAAAGCATAAACATAATAAGCCATTATACATACATAGTATTTTTAAATAATATGCCATTACAGTTAAAGATTTTGAGAGGGAAATCGATATCACAACACGCATAAATTACACAATTTTTGTTATCAAAACTATGTATGTATCTAAATTTAGCAAACTAATACAATCATAAGCTTTTATAGACGCCAGTGTGGTAACTCACAGTCACTTTGAATGCCAGTAGATACATTCAAGTAGATCGATCACTGACTCAGAAGGCGGCAAAATATGGCATTGTTAGAATAGGCGTTACTTTTCTCATGTATTCAACCTTTCACTTGGCTATTGCCAAACGACGGTTTGACAGAAACAGCTTTTCCTATGCATTCGGATTGAGTAAATTTAAGCCTTATCATTATCACAACTCTATGATGATTTTTTTATTTCATCCGCATAATATTGAATTTGTTCAGTGTTGTTCGTATATTATCGTTGCGTGGAAGCCATTTATATGTATGTAAATTGAAGTCATCATACCGTACTCTAGAAAGTTTCACATTATTTTTCGAAAGGCATTTAAAACAAGAATATCGTAATGATGAGAATTAATTGCTTAGATTTATTAATGTTTAAATTTACCAACCTAGACTAACCCATTAAGAGTAAGCACTCAGTAGCCGCACGGTGGTGATAGGCGTTTAACATACATGACAAATTCACGCTCTCTTGTGAATGTTACAGTATTCAGAGGGGCGGCTACTCGCATTGTATCCTGGTCGCGTCACACCGCCGTACGTCAGCCAGGTAAAGCCACGTTGAAGCAAATTGTGGCTGCGGTACGAATGTATTAGCACGACTGAGAAATGTGGCCCACATTGACATGAAATATTAACATTTTGTATGGTGAGTGACAGGAACCGGAGACCATTTATCTGGTAACAGCGCATTGTCTATGGACTACAGCGTTCAGTTGAACTGTGTGTTTATTTGTCAGATACCCTATATAAACATAATAGTGATAAACTAGCTGACAGTTCTGCTGATGATAATGAAAAAAAAAACCACTTGCAAGCAATATCAAACATAGCAGGGCGTAGGTCGGCGGTTACTACTGAATAATAAAATTAAATTCTTTACATCTCATAATAAATGATAAGAATTTAGAGAATAAGATATCCACCAATGCAATAATAATCTAATAAGGAAATCGTACAAAAAATTAAACCCTTCAATTGTACACAAATCAGTTGATGAAGTCGAAGCGCTTTGATCTAACAAGCACTTGTTTACAAGTTACAAGTATAATGCACGACGGAGCAGCAACAGCCTTTGACAGTAGAAATCTATATTTAAAAAAAAAGTTATTAATTTTGCTATTTCATACAAACAAAAAATGGATACATAAAACATATAGGTAAATATTAAATCGTAAATATCCTACAATGAAAAAAAAAACTACACTTATGTATACTTTATTACAAAAAAGCATATTTTTCATTTCTTACGCCGCACGCTGTATAAACAACAAGAACAATAAAGTAATTTTATTGTTATAAAATACCTACTTGGATGGGTACATTTCATACTAAATCAAACTGGCGGCTATGCAGAAAAGACCTACCTACCTACCTACATTCTATCTAAATCTAAGAAAACGGTCTATTTTCCTTTCTCTTAATGTGAAGACCATCCTCAATGTACTATGATTATTAATATGGATATTAGGTTATTAGTCATTATAATACAAATGACAATCATAAGTAACGTGCGAAAACTCTAGTCCACATACCTGGTGGGCCGATAGTGCGACGTTAACAAATGGTCGTTTTTATTCCGCGCCTGCGCACCGGATACGCGGCGGTTCCTGTGGGAATGTCGAACCCGATTTTTTTTACCCTCCAAAAAGCGGATGTCCTTCGTTCGACCGGTTATGAAAGGTGTCGAACATATGTCTGCATCATTTTCGAACCGATTACGTTTTCGATTCAAATGCATTTTTGTATTAATTGAATTTGCCGAGGGAAAGTTACGCTGGTATTTTCAAAAATGTAGCTTTGTATACAGAAATAGATATCTTTCGTACTAAGAAGATTATACATAAAATATTTCTTGTTCCGGTTTAAATTTGAGTGTACTTATTATTCACACTAAGCCATTACCATCCTCCCCCACAGATTGTCTCATAGTTGGCACGCTTGGCAGGCGGATTGGCATCCACAGTTTTATATAATTTTAGGTTGTTATCAGGGAGATGCTGCTAAACATTGCCTGTTTCAGTTTATCGTTGTTGTCTCTTACGACATCCACTGGACGATAATAATGTCCTCCAGACCAAATTTCAGCCACGGCAGTCAGCCTCAACGGAGGCTAGCCATCGGCGCATGACAAAATTATAGTGCCCAAGCGTATGCGCAAGCACAAGTGCATTCACTATTCCCTCACTTTCATAATCCGATGGGACGGTAAACCGACACGACCGGAGAGAGATCAGGCGCAGGACCAACGGCTTTACGTGCTTTCCGAGGCAAGGGGCTGAGACACCGCCAACTTCCGTGCAGGTACTAGGAATTTCTCGACTGAAAAACTCAATAATTGATTTTTGACCCGACCCGGGATTCGAACCAAGGACCTCATGATCAGCAGTCGCACTACTACAACTGCTAGACCAACGAGGCAGTGAACTCAGCTACTACTACGATATAGGATAGTGAATTTGCTTACGCCGCCAATACACTAAGACATGAGCTAAACTTAAATTTTTGCTTTATTCTTCTTACTGAACGTGATGTTAGAAACATATGTACAAATAGCTGTTATAATTATAAATCGTAATACTTTAGGCGTAGGGATCAAATTAAGAAACCGTGGTTACTCAGGGACAAGCACGACTGCTTTTGAAATAAGGGAACCTGCCTTTAACCTTTAATCGGTGTTGCCGGTTTTTTTCACCTTACCCCTAGATTTTTCCAAAAAACCCCTAGTTTCCCTATGTAAGGGGGATAAAATACCTCTGACTTTTTATTCGGTCAAGTTTCGTGTGAATCAGATTAATCAAAAATAAAAAGTTTCTACTACATACCAGCTACGTACTTAGAACATTCAACCCAATGGACGTGTAATGCTCCTAATGCTACGAAAAAAAAGTCTGTCATTTTTGGTGCGAGGGAAGAAACACTACATAGACAGTACTGCACACCTACTCAATAAAATTTTGTGTCACTAAGGCACACACAAATCTAAATCTCCAACACTATTACATTTTATGCACTAGGTTAAATACATCAATATAGAAAAAGTTATGAATATAAGAAGGACAAATTAATTGCGATACTACCATATCGATATTTTATATCGATAATGAATTGTCGGCATTGTCTGTTTTGAGAAAGAATTCAAAAGTTGGTAAGACTAGTGAAAAACCTTCAGAAAAACCTCTAATTTAATTTCGTGAAACCTCTTAAAAAACCTCAACGTCCTCCAAAAACCCCTAGATTGAGGAAAAACCTCTAGATCTGGCAACACTGCTCTTAATGATAATTTCAAGTAACGACTCACCACGTGGTAGTTAGTAAGAAAAAATATTTTCAGGAGGCTTTAAAGATGTGTTAAGTTCATCAATAGCCGTTGGAGCAGTGCGGCGAACTCTTCGTTTCAACACCCATAGTTATATCAATAATTAAAGGAGGCTTGTGTCTAAAAGGACCTTTAAAGTCATGTTCTTTTCCTACTTTTGTGATTATGTAATTTAATCTGCTTTTTCGTTTAATTTTTCGGTTCAAATAAATCGTAACTTTTATATCTAGTATTACTAAAATCATCTTAAATATTATATGCATTCAACCTCTCAATGCAAAATCTTTATATTACTTATATTATGTCTTTTAACATCGCTCATCTTCTTGTTTTGTATAATTAATACCAGTATAGACGATAATAATAAAGGTTTATCATTAAACAGAAGGAACTGATTAGTTTCCATATAAATAACCGATGTACAATTTATTATCGTCTTCATGCAAAACAAATGTGATGAAAACACTGACATATTGCGAGCAACGATGTAGTTTTAGGTGAGCGCTTTGCTTAGAGCACCTGTCATATGTAGTCACCTGTCGATAATTTTTATTGATTCGCAAAATGTCACTGTTTTATTTTGTTACTTTTTCTCTTTGAAAGTGTCCATTGTAGGCCGTCACATATTATCTACATGGATGTTAAATTAAAAAAATATAGAATGCATGATTTGGTGCAATGAAAACTTTGCTTATTATATTGCTCTATCCCACCTTTTCTTCATCCCTTCTTTACAATCTTCATCATACCAGAAATCTACTGCTAAAAATAGGCCTCCTTCATAGATTGCTTTATAGCAGGGTTTCCCAACCTTTTTTTTCTTGAGGCTCCCCGGACTATTGATAATATTTTCATGCCCCCCCCCCCCCCTTTACTTTTACAATAAATACAAAAAATGCACATTAAATACTTAAAAGCCTTTTATTTTAATTCTAATAAACAAACTTTAAAAGTTTAAATTAAAATAATAAATGTTTTTTATCCAAAAAATTTAATAAAATAAGAGTAGGTATTAATGAGACACTTGAGCTTACATGTTCTGTACCAGTTGGTTGATTCTAGGTTCTGTTCTTGCCAGAGCTATCATCAGGTCGCTATCGACATCAAGACGATTTCGCTGTTTAGTTTTAATTAAAACTAGAGCCGAAAATGCTATATTTGTTTTTTTTTTGCCTGTTTACCACCTTAGTGATAATAAAAAAAGGAAATGCAAACGCTTTGCGCCCCCCTTGACATCTCTCTATGCCCCCCTTGGGAGGCGTGCCCCCCTGGTTGGGAACTCCTGCTTTATAGGTTGGAGAGTTTCTACGCTTAGCAGGCAGGTTGGTGTGACTGTGACTGGAGTTGTGTAAGTGGAGTTTTTTTATTATTATTATGTATAGTTGGTATCAAAAAGATGCCGCTGTCCAGATTCCGTTGCAATTTCCCTTTGTCGCCTCTTAGAACGCCTGTGGGATGATAGTGGGTAGTAGATTCTCTTATCTAAGTACAATGCGGCGCATCTTTTAAATATGATTTCAAATCTCACGCAGTAAGAGTGAGCAAATCTTTCAAG